CAGGAAGTATGAGGGCATTATCACTCTGTCAGCGAAGCCTCCCTTAACCACTATTTGCATCTCTCTGTTATTCCTTATCGGGGTGCATTCAGTTTGACATGCATTTTGACTGATTCTCCACTCTTGTCACTGATTAAATTTCCATTAGCCATGCTTACCAGTTGTTGTGGCACTGAGAGCTCCTGAAAGATGTTCTCCAAATATGATTGCTGGGAAGAGAGCATAGGTGGGATAATGACACAGTAACATGATTTTAGGAAGCACTCTGTGTGACGGCTCCCTCCCTCACCGCTTCAGTCTCTCCCTCACACGTCCTTTCTCATTCTTCCTCTTCTCTGTGTGGAGTTGCTTCTCATCTGCCATGAGCACAGCAATAAGGCAAGCATATAGAGAAAGACAGAAAGTGTGTACGTGTCTGTGTGTAGGGGGGTGTTAAGAGATTTATTTAAATCCTATCGTGCACACACACACACTCACAAACGGAAATAGCCATGTTTAGATTAGTTAAGATAGTTCATTCCTCGCTGTTGTGTTATTCTAAACCCATATGACTTTTTTGGTCTTTTGAAGAATCTTAGCATCTTTTCCATACAAAACAAAATTTCCATACTCTAAAAAGAACCAAAATTAATTTAAGCTATTCTTAAATGATTTTTTTAAATGCAGTCAGCTGGTAACTTGAGGCCAGATAATTGAGTAAGTAAATGCTGATTCATGAATGAATCAGTCCAACGATTCATTGATGAACTGTTCCATCCAATTTGTGAACCATATCAACCAGTCCATTCAAAAGTACAGCTCAAAAGAATGATTCTTTTGCTGAATCAGTTCTTAAGTCAACTCACAGAGTCAATAATTAGTTTGAGGTGGTTCTGGAGTTCACAACTCACTGGAAGTTAATCAGTGAATAAAGACTTACATTTGGTCTATTTCTCACACAAAGCTATCGTATTTTAGGCTGAAGAGATGGTTTGAATTTGAAAACATCTTGATGGATTTTTTCAACTTTTCACTTCACAAGTTAACTTGTGAAGTTCAGTTAATTGATGATCTTGAGTCATGTCGATTATTGTGGTGTTTATATCAGCGGTTTGTACTCTCATTCTGACGGCATCCATTCACTGCTGAGGATCCACTGGTGAGCAAGTAATGTAATGCCTTCGCTGAAATGGTCACTGAATTTATATGTATTTTTTAAATAGAAAAATAGGAGCATACAAGTTTAGAATAGCATAGTGAAACGGTTAAAATGAGTAAGTAAATAATGACAGAATTTATAACCTCTGCCCTCATCATCTCAGCCTGTATGGTAATCAGGGCACAGTTACTGTGCAAGTTTCAGTATGGAGATAACATGAAATGCCTGCTATTCGAATGAAGCTAACTGTTATTGCTAATGACCAGCAGGATTAATTAGAGGGAGCAGGATGGGCAGCTCGGAGAGCAGTCTCTCCCTCATTAATCCGCTTGCAGGTGTTCTCCTGCCACTCTCTCCCTCTCCATCTGCACATGGAGAAGATCGACGAGAACCCAACTCACACCAATTCAATCTTATTAGTCCACCACAGATATCACATCCCTGAAAGAGCCTCCAGTGGAGGACAGCTGTAGATAAGGGAAGCACGAGACTCTGAAACACAAAGATTTGAGGAAATTGTTCAAACTGGGAGAACTTTTGTGTAAAGGTGGTATCTTCTGTGCTGAGAGACCAATGAATGATTTATCTGAGAGACTTTTTAAGGTTTTTCAGCACATTTTCTCCAAGTTCCAAGTCAAAGCAGCATAATGTAATATTTTTTTGTCATTATTTATAATGGGACTAAAATTTGAGGTGCAACCCAAATTCTAAATTAGGCTGATATTATGCTAATGTCAGTTTTGCTCATGCATGAAATAGGGTGAACAGATTATTATTATTTTTTTGTAAATCACGATTATCTGATTTTCAAATCAAGGCTACTTGAAATACATTATAATTTTGTAAAAAGTATGTAAATCAATGTAAGTTATATTAAATAAAAATAAAAAAACTAACTAAATAAATACTAATAAAATAAAATAAATAACAAATGTATTGTTTCTGCTAACATTTGACATTTATATGTAAATGTATATTTAAAGTAACACACTTTCATGGCAATCTGTAACTTTCTTTTACTTTCTGGGGAATTGGTGAATTTGTACAATCTAATTTGTACATTTTCATACAACTGAAGGTTATGTTTAGGAGTGGGGTGGAACTTTTTAAAAAAATTATAAATTTCCATACAAATCCCACACAGCATTTCAAACAATATCTTTTTCTCATGAAATCAGGGTTATTAAGGACTTACCAACACATTAGATCAAACAAATTTAAACCAAATAATAAAAACTATTTCCATATACAAGCAATGAGTTGAACACAAATTTCATACTCAACATCAAAAAAATAATAATTCCATTATTGATTGTTAATACAGCAGGGAGGATCACTGATCTATGACTACTGTTGGTTTGGAGCTGTACTTAGTAGGGGAGACTGGGGAGTGTTGTCACACTGAGTGATTTGCAACACCATTACTTTAACCAATTAGAATTGAGCTACAGGGGTGAAATCACTATCACACATGACCACCACCCTCCTGAGGTGAGAGCAGACTGTTTGTGAAGTCAATTCTTACATCTGGTTTTCTAATTTAATATACAGCATCCAAGCTTTCATACATGAAGTAATAATAATAACAATTAAAAAAATTGCAGCATTACAGAAGATAGTGAAAGTTGTAACACTATTTTCCAATGTGTTTCTACAGCACCCATAAACAAAATGGGACAATTTTATTGCGAAGTTTTTTTCTATATGCTTTACCATTTAGATTTTAAGTAATTATAATTAGCTAATCCAAATTATTATTTCAAATAACTATTTTAACGCTTTATTTGATTACCATACAATTCAAGTATACTATAAAAATGTAAATCAAACAAAGATTAGTGGAGTATGTTTTAAAAGAAAATATTATTATTAGTCTTTCTACTACAAAAAAATAATGCTTTCCATTTCTTTGTACTTACTTGTGAAATTTACTAGCAATTGCTGAATTAAAAATGTTTCTACATCATTTTTTTTAGCAGTGTACACAATTTAAACTGATGTCCATGTTTTCATTTAAAGGTGGGGTAAGCGATTTTTCAAAAACGCTTTAGAAAACTGATTCGGGCTGAGTAGCAAAACAAACTTGTAGCCAATCAGCAGTAAGGGGCGTGTCTACTCATGATGTGGAGGAGAGAGCGTTCAGTGCACAGGACGGACATTAACCGAGCCGAGCATCAGAAAGATAGAGATGGCGGATAAAAAACGAAAGAGGAAAACGTCTGCGGATCTAGTGTAGACCATAGATATGTGTATATATATATCTATGGTGTAGAAAGCATTACTGATTATAATGAGTTCCATAGTATTTTGTCGCGCCGTGCCACTCGCGTCCGTTGTAGACAAGGTGTAACATTGGTTTTGCTTTGTTTCACAGAACTAATCGTTGCCTGGCTTGCGTACGTATGTGTGGGGCGGAGCTATCAAAATAGGGGCGAGACCCTTTTGGGGTAGGGGCATGTTTGTTTTGGTGATTTCAAATATCAACATTGGCTACCAGAAATCGCACTTAGTCCACTTGGGGGAAAAATGAGTAGTATATTTCTACTTTAATTTGTAGCAGATAAATATAGAAATTTTATATCAAAAATTGAGATGCAAGTGCAAAAAATAAACAAAAAATCACTGCGACATTACACCTCCTCTAACTGGTGTTCTTTATTCAGTGCAGCTTTTTCTTGAAGTTGAAGGAACACTGTGATGTGGGCCATTAACTGAGGCTTTAAGAGGGCCAATGAAAATGACCTGGCCTGATCTCCAAATGAAAGATAAATATGCTGCAGTGTGGACATCTGTCACGGGGATGTGGGAGGAGGCTGACAGACTCAGAGTAGCCTACTAAATCATTTCTACACTAAACTCTGGGTATGATTCACTTTGTGACCGCGCTTACGCAACGTGTTTTCACCACGAAAGGTGAAAGGTTTTTAGTGTAGAATGAACTCTATAAACATGAATTGCACAAGATGTAACCAAATGTAGTAACTGGTGAATGGTCTTTTTTGGCAATTTAGGTTTTTCATCTAGTGCCGCAGGAGGTCAGCTTGTTTCCAGCACACATAAAACGTCATCTCCCATGAGGCGCTGCTTGGATCCTAGTGCAGCAGGCCATGCACCACTGACATGGAAATTCAAATTGACGGGGATTAACTCTTTAGACTTCAACAGACCCACCAGTACATAATGTTCCTGATCCTGATGAGAAACCAAATGTTAGCATGAAAGATGGAAAAAAATTAAAAATGGAAAATGTCACTGTCACTTACATGATCAGCATTGTGTTGTAAATGCACTTTACACGGGTCTTGCTATGGCACTTGATTGAAAGGGACAGACAAAATAAACCAATTAACTAACAAATGAGCTAACAAATTAGTTGTTTCATTTTATTACAGTGCAAAATTATTCACTTACGTGGGAAGTAGTATTCCGGCATAAGAGTCTGTAGTCTTAATTACTGGAAATTAATTTAAATGTATTCATATTTATTTTAAATGCAATAAAACACACCAACTTGTGTTCTTGCTAAATTAAATCATATGCAGGTACAGTATTTTAAAATAGCATTTCATTATGCATCATGTAAAGCACATTTCACAGTTCCATCACCAACTTCCAATTTTATTAGTATCAAACCACTGCTACAAAATTACATCAAACATGATGAAAATGAACTTGCATACGTGCTATACACAATGTAAGCTTTAAAGTAATTAAAGTATATGATTCTTTTTTTTCTTGACAATATCAATATATATCAATGCCACTTAAAGCCATATATGTCATTCCAGTGATCTAGAGCCTAAAATATACAACTATATCCCTGGTGGCTAAAGTATCTCCATACACATGTAAGTAAAGATGACCATTTCAAATTTCTCATCACAGAAATGTCAGCTTCAATAGTTGAGGAAATAAAAGTACAGCCATCCCAATATGGTTACAATGTCCATTTTACTTAGTCACCAAACTGAACGAAACAAAATAAAAGGTACCAAAATCAAATAAACATGTATATACAAAAGTAACCAAAGCTCACCAAATGGTTTCCAAAGCATTAGTGTAAATTTGGATCGTTCTGGCGAGTGTCCTCTGTGCTCAATTACTCAGTAGCAGACGGGTGGTTTCACTGGTGGACTTATTCCACTTCACAAAATAACTGCTTAAGATATGAACGGTGCCAACACAAATTGCCCATGCCATTCAAAACAGCTAGCAACAATTACCAGGCCAACTAACATCTAATGAGACGATAACGGTGAATAAAAGAGAACGGTGTGTTTTTTGAAAACCATGGACTTGCGTAACCAAAATTGATCCCTTGCTTTTCACATAAAACACTTCTCCTGATGAGACACAATCGGCGGTTTCAAACAGAGCTCAGCGAAAGGCGGCTCTGCTAAAACCTTAGCATTATCAAAACCACTGCATCAGTGCTGGGCTAACTTGTTTTTCAGCTCAGTGAAAATAACGAGCGAGGGGGCCGACAAAAACTTGATGGCGAGGAACAAAAAAAGCTTTAGAATTCACTCATTCTCATTTTGGCAGCTACTTTATTATCCAGACAAATATTTTGCCAATGGATGTTTCTACCGCCTAAGTACAGTCATGGCGGCTGCTTCATTTGTCATCAGTTTCGTATCATTCGAAGGTTTAACACAATAGCCGCAAACCAAATGGGCGTCACGAAGGATTATAGGTTTTTGTTCTTTACGGTGCGCCGTGGAGTCAATTAGAATACTGCAAAACTGCAATTACTGCCAAGCATTTTGAAAAGGACAGAGGTTTATGTAGATTACTGTCAGCCCTGCCAGAGTGCTGCTGAGAGAGTGAGCGCTCACAGCTGGTTAATGCAGCACCCTCCAGCACTCCACAAAATCATCCTCCAGAAACTGACAAAGGCACAGGAAGAATTTTATTAACTGCCAGGTCAGAAGAATCACCTCCCCTGGCCGCACACACAGCACTCTCAAACCGACTTTTAAAAGAGTCTGGCCAAGATAGAGATGGAGCTGACAGGTTTTTAATCATTGAAATACCGCCTCCCACCCTCATTCTGTCTCGCCAGCAGCTTCGCTCGAGATAGGAGATGAAGTATCTTAAATGTTTGGGTTTTTCGGACCGTACACGTGTGGTTACACATCCACCGAAGACTTTTTTGTACCGATATGTGCTCATAGGATTTCGAGAAAAAAAAGTACCGAATTTGCTACCTCATACCACATGGCGAGGACTCCGGGAAGGTGCTGGAACCCAAGGGGTCTCCTCGGGCCACAACATGTGCTGCTTGCAGTAATTTGAACCCATTCGAAAATAGCACCGGCCTTTTGGGTTTTCGTGACCACTGGCACCATGCAAATTCTGGATATCTGTCGCTTGGCTGACGTGAGAAATTTCGAAACTCGTCATTGAATATTAATGCATGTCCAGGAATGTGATTATCAAGTCATTAGATGCTCAGAGTGAAAATTTGCAGCACATTTGCCTGTTATTTACAGACTCTTTTGAAAGGCTGTAACTTTCAGGAGAATTATGCATGCATGAATGCTCTTGTCTGTTTTTTTTATCTTGATATCCACTTACGCAGTTTTAATGATGCTTTAATGAGCTCTTTGTTATGGTTTCATTCACAATATTTATTAAAAGAGCATGTGCTACTTTTATTTCTTTACAGAACTCAAAATTGGCAGACGTTTTTAAACATTTTTTTAATTGCCCTTTTATCAGCTATTAATTAGAAGCCAGAAATACTACGCAACACTGATTCGTCTGGTATGCTAGCTATGAATGGCAAATGCATGAGGCTTAGACATGGCATTTGACATGGAATGGCAACAGATCATATCAATTAATACTTTTAAAGGCACATTTTATACAGTACTTGCTTCTAGAGTGGACTCAGAATATTGAAATGCAGCGTATTTACTGTAACTGCCAAAGCTATTGGTGTTAATCTGCGATTATGGAGGTTTGTGGTAATGATAAGCAAGTGCAATGTTACTTTTTATATCACAACGGCGAAAGCCAGGCCCTCACAGCGATGAATATTTAAACTTCCCTCGGTTTGATCTCTGAGGCTTTCAGGTCTGTAATAAGCAAAGGGACATACAGGTGAGACCTATATGATTCTGTGACTGATTCTTCGTCAGAATATATCTGTTGTAAGTGAAATATTCAGACACTTCCTGTCATTGAAAATGTACGTTGTGCATAAATAATATATAAAAAGAATCTAAATTCGTCACGCGTTAACCAAATAGCATAAGTACAGTCTATAGGAAAGGACCCAGTATTGCACACTGAGCGGAAACGATTCTGTGATGACTTTCACATGAAAAGAACATTTCATCTTAGCTCAACAGACAGGCCTAGTGATGTTCAGTAGTGTGGAACACATTTCATTAAGTCAAAGCAGCCTCAAAACTGGTTTTGTTCTCAAATTATCGATTTATGGTAAGTGGCCACCTTAACATACATATTAATTTGACATGCAGCACATTTATAATTTCTGCACATCTTAATATACAACAAGTGTGTGGGAACTAGGGTAGAGGTTAAACTAAACCTAGACACTGGCTCTACCAATAAGATAAAATGAATTCTACTTTCTTCGAATATACACACACGTGACTCGTTTTCTATTATACCGTATGACTGGTTCACACCCTCTGAGTTAAAAGTAGATTATTTGATTACAAACGGTTCTTTTTTCCAACTTCTACTCGTTTGACAAGAATCAACAACAGTTGTGGCATCTAAAATGAAAGACAACATTGTAAACTATGCCATACTGCATACGTATTTTGAAATAATATTCATTCACACGTTTGGATCCACACTTGAAAGTTTCATATTGTCCCCACAAGGGAAGTGCATATTCTTTTTTTCTGCTTCCCTATTCAAAACTATTTCACACTGACAGAAGCAAAGCAGGTAATATGTTAATACATTATAAAAATCCTGTTCAAATGATTACAACCATAAAACATACTCCATAAAATTAAAGAAAAAAAGCCAATAATGATTTGAATGATCGTCAGATAAGTTCCAGTAGACACTGTTCATAATTTCCTCATTTAATCAAAGTGCACATCAAATATGACCCACCTTTCCTCTACTTTTTACTTTGGATTGGTCTGTTACAATATTTTGCATGCTGCCAACTAATGAATGTCTTTTATGTGCTATTTTTATTTTGATATCTTATTAAATATAACATCAAATGCAACACAGACATTTTCTCTATTCCTTTTTCACATTGGAGCTCTCATTTTAAAGACCCCCAGGGCGAAAAGGACAGCTCTGTAACTCTGCTTTGCTGTTTTATATCCTTTTGACCACTTCAAGAGGCTCATTTTAATTTTACAATTAGGCTCACTCACAAATAGTTTTACAAGAGGCAAATGTATCTCATACGATTACATATTTGAATCTCCAGTGCAATCTAGGTTTAGATTTTTTTTCCTGCAGTAAAACAACTAATTCATGTATTTCTAGAATAACTAGAAAGGTTTATGATCGTACACTGCATAATTCAGTTAAATGCAATTGGGGTCTATAGCCCAGAGTTCTAAACCTTTGAGGTATGGCTGTAGTTTTGGTCTAGAAAATGAATAATCATATTTCACCGTCAATGGAAAAAACACGCGCATTAGCATATTAAACTAAAGCTGCTCTTCTATTGTTCACTTGGCCTTTGACTGTATTACGTTTGATATCAATTTCAATATCTCTCCCTTTGTGAAATCTTAAACAGTGTTTCTTGGTTCACTGGATTTAAATGAGCTCGGCAAAAAACGTAGCACGGAGCGCAAGGTGACACACACTAGGGCGTCTTTCCTTTTTCAATAACAAAGACACTAACGTCACACACCCTTACTTTTCCAAAGCGTGATTTCGGCTAATTTGTGAGCATTCGAAGGGGACAATGTGTGCTGATTCACAAAGTGGGAAATCAGGAAAAGAAAATAAGAAAATAATAGAAAATAAGACAAGAGAAAGAAAACCAACCCCCTAAAACCATATGTATTTACATGATGACAAACACCACAGAAGAAAATTACCATCCCAACATAAGAAATGCTGATTAAAATCCCTCGCTGCTTTCCAAACACACTGTACCAGATTGGATCCAGCCATCAGCAATGTCAAAGGATCTGTAAATGCTCAAAAGGGTTCTTTACAGTCATTGTGTATGGCCGTCCCCAGGGCTAGTAAACGCTGACGAGAGAAGAGAGAGCCAGGATCAGGTACCGGCAGGCCAGCAGGACTTCAGCGCCTCCTGTACTTCCATATGGAGCGGTGTTGGGTGCTGTAAACAACAGAGCAGAGACACACGCTGATTAGCAGATTCTCCATCTCTCCTGGCAGCGAGTCATAGTCTCAGTCAAGCAGTACCTCCTCCCTTTTCATATGAGCGGAGCACACGTTGCCTGCCTTCACGCTCTCAAATCAAGACTCACGACGGGCTCGCATGCCGGAAGGAGTCCTTCAATAAGACGCTTTGCTTTAAACCCGTGCTGGGTACTTCAAAATAAGAGGGCGTAACAACTAGTCTCAGAGATGTGATCATGTTGCTTTCTCTGCTTTTACCTTTGAACCTGCTAGAAAGCATCAAATTCGTTTCATCCCTAATGAAAATATATTTGCATAAAATATATTTTAAAATATATGCAAAATCTCGCTGACATGCTTCTAGGCTGTTCTGAGTGGCTGCCAGTATTGGCAAGTTTCTGTGCGATTGCTAGGGTGTTCTGGGTGGTTGCCAAGGAGTTGCTATGCAGCTGTTAGGATGTTATGAGCTCATTGCTCTGTCCTTTGCTAGGGTGTTCTGGATGGTTACCAGGGGTGCTGCTATGCAGTTGCTGAGGGACAGAGGAACTTTGAATGATTCTTAATACAATATGTGGTTGCAAGGTTGTTGCTATGCAGTTGCTAGGGTGTTCTGTGTGGTAGCCAAGGAGTTGCCATGCAGCTGTTAAGATCTGCTATGTCCTTTGCAAGGGTGTTTTGGATATCACCAAGGTACTTTGAAAGGGCACCTATTATGCAAAATTCACTTTTACATGTTGTTTGGACATAAATGTGTGTTGGCAGTGTGTGTACACTACCACCCTATAATGATAAAAATCCACCCGCTTCTTTTTTTAATCCCCATAAATCATAATCAGTGTCTCAGAACAAGCCGTTTGCAGAATCTGTAAAATGTGACGTCACATTTTACAAGCCCCATCCACGACTGTTGACGGACAATGCTGTATTAGAAGAGACACCGCCCTGAGTGAGCTGCACACAATCCGCCGTGTTTATCTTCATGCTAAAAAGCAGCATTCAAGAAAGAAATGTCTTCTTATTACAGCTACAGAAATTATTCATTCAAGTCCGTGTAGACAGCAGTATAGGTACTGCATATTACACTGCTGTCACTTAATACACAGATCTAATATAAACGTGCGATTTCTTTCCGGCTGTTTATCTTCACAGACATAAGTTCACATAACCGACTGTTTTTTTGTAACTTGTGTGTGCTTGACAATTTATGTGCAATAAGACATGAAAGAGAACTTAGTTTAGTACTCACATGCTGTGTGACAGATGCTTTGTGTTCGCGTGCGTCCTATGTGTGCACTCAGAAAATCCTATATCAGACTTTTAAACTAATATGGCTTTAAAACGCATGATTTCAGCAAGATAGACATAATAATCAAAACCAAACAGATGTTTTTGGCAGAATATCTAAGGTACGCGCTGTAAAGGAACAGCCCTATTCTCAAAAAGGGGCGGGAGCAGCAGCTCATTTGCATTTAAAGAGACATGCATGAAAATAGCATGTTTTTTGCTTCCACTCATAATAGGCATTTTTAAAATTATGTAATAAATGATCTGTGGGGTATTTTGAGGTCAAACTTAACAGACACATTCTGGCGACACCTGAGACATATATATTACATCTAAAAGAGGGCATGATAGGTGCCTTTCAAAGATTCTTACCACTTTCATGTGCCATTGCAAAGGTGTTTTGGATGGTTGCCAAGGAGTTGCTATGCAGCTGCTAAAGGCTGGAATACACTACATGACTTTTAAAATGTGAACAGATTTTAAACCACTAGGCATCATATACTTGCCAACTTTAGAAATAGTTACAGAAGAAAAACTGGCCATCACACACTAACGACTGAAGTTCATACACCAGCAGACTTTATAGTCTTTCCGATTACAACAAACTCACAAACGTGTCTTTTTGCTAAGAGACACATGACAAACAAAAACAATGTTTTCTAAAATCAGCTCAAAATATCAAACATGTTTGATATCCTCTGACTGGATGGATTCATAGTCTGAAGCAAAAAAAACAACAAAACAAAACAAAAAAAATATCAGAGTCTGTGACCATCATACACGATGCGATTTATTGTGAAATCTGCCAACTCAAATTTGCAGACTGGTTCTGATTTTTGGCAACTAGCGTCAACTTCTCCAGAATGTAAATCGGAACAAAAATCTGTAGTGTATTCTAGCCACAAGATGCCCTGAGTTCTTATTAACACATTGCACTGAGTGGTTCTTTGTATGTTGCTGTGCAGTTACTTGGTGGTCGATAGTCAAAAAAGTATTATTCACATCCATAGCATGGTACGAGGCAAAGTTTAATCTCCAAGCATGAGCAATAGTAATAGTGATGCTTGCCTTTGCAAACCCACTGATAAGCCTGTGCTGCTGACGCTAGGTATGCTCATATTTTCCCAGCCAACACAGATCCCTGTGGCTGAAAGCCTTCAGGTCTGTCCCCGAAGCAAAACAACTTGAGTGTAGTACTCAGGAGAGGCGCTTCAGAACAGGTGTGGGAGTGTACAGGCATTCATCTTCATGAGAGTTTTTGTTTCACAGCTCTGTTAATGACAGACACTGGCCTACCTAAGGAGATTAGTACATCAAACACACACACACACACACACACACACACACACACACACACACTCAGGAGATTATGTGTCCTGGCTGGTACCACTGACTTTCTTTTACATCCATCCAGCAAATTTTCGTTGTGCATGTTATTTGCGAATACATGTGATGACAGTATCTAATGGAGTCATTATGATATGGAATCATTTGTTTGAACTGTTTTCCCCGCACTGAAAGCCACAATAAGGCTGAATCACGGCATCAAATAGCACATCTGACAGTAATAAGTATGTTTGTGCATGGAAGGTTGATAAAATAATTGCTTTGTGACAAGTCCTGTCACGAATTGCAAAAAATGGGAGATGAAAAGCCGTGCATCCATTTTCGCTTCCATTCCAGCTTTTACGGCTTTAAATTACCAGTGTTGCTTAAAAATCTTTATACCAAAAAATTATAGCCACTTGCAACGGGAAGCCCGGAATATCAGAAATGGGTATATGAGATAGAAAATGATGCAAATTGTGATGATGTGCGCGAGATGCATGGTTAGGAAACGAGGAGAGCAAACTGCCCTGTACACTGCGGCTTCATTCTGCCTCCATCCAAAGCACTGGATAATGACACAGTTTTTGCTAGGCAGAGAGAGTGGAGCTGGTAACCATGGAAACAGCTCACATCCTGCGCTGGCCCCTTTGCCAGAGCCACAGAGTGTGCACAGCGCTACCAATGGAACAGAATCATTTAGGCTATAGGCACCTGCTGCAGTATCTAACTATAAGCGCTCTTTGTCAAAAAACAAACAACGCCATATGGCCTGTGAAAGGTAAAAGGACGAAACGCTTTGTCCCTACAGTATATTTCTTTCCAGTGCCCCATCGGACTAATAGCTACTGGAACGTCGGTGATGATTCAGGGTCGTGCCAGAAACATCCTATCATCTGGCACTATAGAAGCAATTAAGGAAAGCACCAATATTACCTGCCTGGCTGCGTTGTGCGAGTTAGGGAGCTGTTTAATATCCCACTGTGTCTAAATCAGTCTGTTGTTGTGACGGTGCAGGTTGTTACTGCACTTGCCATTTTAATTAACTCAACCCCTCCCCATCCAGACAGTGGCTGCCTTGTGATTACTCTGCTTTAAATCTAAAGTGTGTAAATACAGTGAGAAAGGAGGTTATTGCACCGGCTTTTGCAACAACATGGCGGTCTCACAGAGCGAAGTTAGTACAGGTATTAGGAACGGCATGACATTTCGCACATAAAAACAAATCGTCGGATTAACCATCTAAAGACTGCATATCTTGAGATGCAAGAGCATCAATTTCCTCATTAAGTTCGGATCAGGGAGTAATCAGTCATGTGCATCTAAATCATGGTTTTGCACTCTATCTAAAGCTCACAAAACCTTCCCTTCGTATGATTATGAAGAGGACACATTATAATTCTGCATAATGATCGCCATAGGCCACAGACAGAAGTTTCTGCATTGCCTATATATACAAGTACAAGATTCCAATTAAAGAAAATGAGAGCTCTCTCTCTGTTCGACTTTGTGTATTTGTTTTGGTTGATTTAGTTAACAGCTTAATTTTTTTTTAGGCATAATGTTGTTGGTGTGACACGGTGCAGAATAAAAAGAGGGGCTGCCACCCTATAATCGGCTGCTAGTTTGAGTCCCACCATTCCTTTTAACTGGCACAAGACCCATCGTTAAGCTGCTTAATGAATTTCATCCTTCCATTCAATGCTCTCCCTCTTTGTGCCGCTCTTATGCTGTGATACAACAAGTTACAGTTAAGACTAGTTCCACAGTTTCCATTTTTATTGTAGTACTATAAAATAGATAGTTTTGGTTTAGTCAATTCCTGAACTGAATTTGAGGAACTAGTATTGAAATTTTAATAATTAAAAATACACTACTGTTTGAATGTTTGAGGCCAGTAAGATTTCTATTATAAATAAATAATGTTCTTTTGAATTTTCTATTCATCTAAGAATTTTGGGGAAAAAAGTATCATGGTTTCAACAAATATATTATGCAGCACAACTGTTTTCAACACTGATAATAAGAAATGTTTCTTGAAAACCAAATCAGCATATTAGGGTGATTTATGAATGTCATGTGACACTGAAGACTCCAGTAATGGCTGCTGAAAATTTAGCTTTGCCCTCACAGGAACAGATAAGAAATGATAAAATGGATAACAGCCATTTTTTAATTTAATACAATTTCACAATATTACCGTTTTCACTGTATAATTGATTTTGAACATTAGTGGAGATACATTTAAATTTAAAGAAATTCATATAACCCCAATAGGTCAAATTATTAAATGGGTAAAAAAACATGTAATTTCCCAAAATGACACAACGTTCATTTCTTTAAATTGCCATTTAGTCTATGCCTAAA